GAACAATTATTTATTTGTAAACTTTTTATAACAGAAACAAAGATGTTTTTTTTTTTCAAACTTTTTTTTTTTTTTTTGTTAATTTAGCAAAAAATAAAAACCCCAGCAGTGATTAAATACCACCAAAAGAAAGCTCTAGTTGTGTGAAGAAAATGATAAAATTTTAGTTTGGGTACAGTGTTGTATGACCGCGCAATTGTCATTCAAAGTGTGAGAGCGCTGAAACCTGAAAAATGGCCTGGGGAGGAAGGTGTAAAATTGCCCGGTATTGAAATGGTTAAAATAAACAGTGTAGCGCTAGTAACACTAAAATATATATATAAATATTAAGTGAATCAGTGATTACAATACACAAACTCGATACATATATATATCCGGGATGATAAACAAAGGAATAAATAATAGTGTCATGCGTGAATTCCCTCGTGGGGAATATCCAGTGCATAAAGTGACAAATACAATCTTAATTCAATATTGTGACAAAAAAACATTCTGGGGCTCAAAATTGGTGAACAAATAATCAATTGCAAAGTCCAAAAAATACAATAATAACAATGCGATGCTTTATGGTGCTCCTCCCACTTCACTCTTCATGCAAAAGTAATGTGCGGTGTGCGTGATTCACACGTGCCAATCCTTTAACAGCCAAAATGCCCCCTCACCTCCTTACTTAGGCCCCACAGGGCCACGCTTTGAGGATCAAGCGATCCTAACAGAATGGGTTCCTCTCAGGATTTCCCCTCTCGTCTCCAGCCTCCACCAGACTAGTAGCCAGCTCCTCCCAGGGTCATAATGAGACACAAGCAGAGACCCTCCATAGTGCAACCAGTTTTATTAGATCGATTAACAGATAACAAGAATTCCACTCACATTAGCCACGGGTAACCCTGATGAAGTCACGTGTTGAACGTGACGCAACGCGTCGGTACGTGGGGAGGAGCTTCCGGTAACGCGGTGACGTCATTCCGGCGCGGGGGCCATATTGGATCACCCTGTTGTTAATACCCATGCAGTACACCCATAGCATGTGGTAGGAAGCTGGAAAAAGTTGTGGCTAATGTGAGTGGAATTCTTTTTATCTGTTAATCGATCTAATAAAACTGGTTGCACTATGGAGGGTCTCTGCTTGTGTCTCATTATGACCCCGGGAGGAGCTGGCTACTAGTCTGGTGGAGGCTGGAGACGAGAGGGGAAATCCTGAGAGGAACCCATTCTGATAGGATCGCTTGATCCTCAAAGCGTGCTGGCCCTGTGGGGTCTAAGTAAGGAGGTGAGGGGGCATTTTGGCTGTTAAAGGATTGGCACGTGTGAATCACGCACACTGCACATTCCCCCCATATTTCTGTGTCAGCAGTGGGGTCCTCCTGGGTCTCCTCCCATATTTCTGTGTCAGCAGTGGGGTCCTCCTGGGTCTCCTACCATATTTCTGTGTCAGCGGTGGGGTCCTCCTGGTCCTCCTACCATATTTCTGTGTCAGCAGTGGGGTCCTCCTGGGTCTCCCCCCATATTTCTGTGTCAGCAGTGGGGTCCTCCTGGGCCTCCTCCCATATTTCTGTGTCAGCGGTGGGGTCCTCCTGGGTCTCCTACCATATTTCTGTGTCAGCGGTGGGGTCCTCCTGGTCCTCCTACCATATTTCTGTGTCAGCGGTGGGGTCCTCCTGGGTCTCCTACCATATATTTCTGTGTCAGCAGTGGGGTCCTCCTGGTCCTCCTACCATAGCGTTCCCTTTTCATTCAGATGGTGACGTATAGTGTGAGCCAACACAGTTACACCCTGTGCCTGAAGGTCAGCCTAGATTTGTCTGGAAGTTGATGGAGGTTCTTTATTCACCATTCCAACAATCCTTTGTTGCAATCCTTGATCAATTTTTCTCTTTCGTCCACGTCCAGGGAGATTAGCTACAGTGCCATGGGCTGTAAACTTCCTGACAATGTTGCATACAGTGGACACAGGAACATGAAGATCTCTGGAGATGGACTTGTCACCTTGAGATTGTCCATACTTTTCCTCCATTTTTTTTCTCCAATCCTCAGACAATTCTTTGCTGCTCTTCCTCTCCTCCATGCTCCATGTGGCACACAGAGACACCCAACAGGAAGGTGGAGGGCATTTTCGCCATTGTACCTGGTTGTCGGTGTGATTTCTATATTGTCATCTATATGGTCATGGATATGGGGGGGGGAAGGGAGTTTAATGACAAATTACAGGAGCATCACAGACTTGGAATGCAATTATTTCTTACCATTTTGAGGAGGTGCCAATAATTTTGTCCGGTCCATTTTTGGGGTTTTGTGTGGAATGGGTCAGATTTGGCTTTTTGTTTCTCCATTTTTTTGTGTCACCGATACAAACCAAAGACATAAACATGAGAATGCCAAAACATTTGTCATTGCAGCAATTTTCTGGGCGAAGTGGTGCGTTATCTGACAAAAATACAGGGGGGACAAGATTTTTTAGGGTGTTCCAATGCTGCAGCTGCTGCTGCCCGATCCCTCACCCCCCCCCCCCCCCCGTGACAGCAGTACAGGGAGAGGTTCCCCCGCACAAGCTGTCACGTTTTGAATGGAGGTGAACTTCCCCTTTAATAAGTGATTGAACAGTACCGACTGGCATATTCAAGGCTTTTATATCCTTTTTCATCTTCAGAAATTTCCATTACCTTGTTACGCAGGTCTTTTTACAGTTTTTTTTTTCAGCTCCCCATGGCTCAGTATTTAGCCTGCTCAGTGCATCCACGTGAGAGCTAACAAACTCACTGACTATTTATACACAGACACTAACTGACACAGACATTGCTTCTTTCTGACAACTCGACCATGCAGCTCATTTTTGTTCAAGTACCGTTGTTGCTCCTTGAAACAACCGCATTGTCTTTTTCCAGATCAGCCTGTATTTCTATTGAGGTGACCCATTCTGATAGGATCGCTTGATCCTCAAAGCGTGGCCCTGTGGGGTCTAAGGAAGGAGGTGAGGGGGCATTTTGGCTGTTAAAGGATTGGCACGTGTGAATCACGCACACCGCACATTACTTTTGCATGAAGAGTGAAGTGGGAGGAGCACCATAAAGCATCGCATTATTATTATTATTATATTTTTTGGACTTTGCAATTGATTATTTGTTCACCAATTTTGAGCACCAGAATGTTTTTTTTGTCACAATATTGATTAAGATTGTATTTGTCACGTTATGCACTGGATATTCCCCACGAGGGAATTCACGCATGACACTATTATTTATTCCTTTGTTTATCATCCCGGATATATATATGTATCGAGTTTGTGTATTGTGATCACTGATTCACTTAATATTTATATATATATTTTAGTGTTACTAGCGCTACACTGTTTATTTTAATTGCATGCACGCTCTGCTGCACCTGCGTTGTGGGTAAATCACGGCATGTAGTGTGGAAGCAGCCCTATAGGGGGCTCAGGACAGTAGGGTCTTGCTTATATTTGCAGTTTGGGGGGGCGGTAAAACCATATAGTTGAGACATTTTTCCCACACTTCGCCGACCGCTGGTGTAGCATCAGGGGTTGCAATGGTGACCCCGGCTTCATGCTCCAGGGGGCCCATGCAGCCTCCCTGTCACATTCTGTTTTACATTTGGACAGGAGCAGCGTCGGGGGCAACATATGCAGGAACCAATCCTCTCCATTTTCCTCCTGCAACCGCTGAAAGCCGGTTTCTTCTCCTCTCCCTCCCACTGGCATTCAGCAACTGCAGGAGGAGAATGTTCATTATGATATTCAAAATAAAAAAAAAAATTGACGTTCTGAACCATTAATTTAATTGTGGCCCGGTGCCGGTTACCAAATCCCTTAAGTGGCCCTCACTCTTCAAAAGGTTGAGCACCCAGGGCTGCTGTTAGAAACCACGGGGCCCCATACAGTCAACCTGATAGAGCCCCCTCCCCCCCAAAAAAAAAGTCTGTTTACTATGCTTCAGTTGTTAATACACAGGGAGTGATCAGTACCGATCACTCACTGTGTTCATTCGGGAAAGGAAGGGGCTGGGAAATGTGACATACAGTATTTACTGGACCCTTCCCCCCACTCTCCATCCTGAAGGAACCTATTGTGTGCTTGCTGCTGGCTGTGGGAAGGAGAGGAGGGAAGCCGGCAGCACTGCGAGGGGGTGGGGATACACAGGGGGGCCTAGGCAGCAGGGGGAAACATATGATGCACAGGGAGGGAGATGGATGTAATGGGGGGGGGCAATTACTGGAAACCGATCCCCTGTATGACTCTCTCTACAGCAGCTGAAAGCCAGAGGGAGGGAGAGGAGAAGAAGCCGGCTTGAAGCTGCTACAGAAAGAGCCAGACAGGGGATCGGTTCCAGAAATTGCCCCCCCCCCCCCCCGCTGTGCTGATCACCCTTCCTGCCTACATCCCACTCACCTAGTTGTCTGGACCCCCCCTGCTGGCCTGGGCCCCGTACAGGAGGACTGGTGGTGCCCCCCTTATTCACGGCCCTGTGACTCCTCTTCCCCACCATTGATGACCACATATGAATCCCCTCCACTAAGAATGACCACCTGTTACATTGGTAGTCCGTGTAAATGTCCGTGTAAATGTCCGTGTAGATGTCCGTGTAAATGTCCGTGTAAATGTCCGTGTAAATGTCCGTGTAAATGTCCCTGCACCAATGTAACGGGATTTGCAGACTTTACAGTGTAAAAGAAAATAAATGATTTCGCTCACATTTGTCATCGTAAAGTTACTCCTATGGACCACAAACATCAAAGCAATCCCCCCAATGACCATCGACACGGGTTATTGTCTTCCCCCCAAGAACCATTAAGAAACAGGTCCATCTCCTCCTCCCACCAATGTCCAGGATCTTCTTCTCTCACAGATGCTGGAGCATTTTTTCCTCTCTCTGAACTCCAACATAAGGGACCCACAATTCATACGGACCACTAAACCATACTGTACATTCCATAATCCTGAGCACTATGCTATTGGAAGTATTGGCCCCTCCCTCCATATCAGGTGTTCCAATCCCTCCATATCATGAGATTCAGGTGTTCCAATCTCCCCTCCCAATCATGTGATTCAGGTGTTCCAATCCCCTCCCAATCATGTGATTCAGAGTGTTCCAATCCCGCTCCCAATCATGTGATTCAGGTGTTCCAATCCCCTCCAATCATGTGATTCAGTGTTGTTCCGATCCCCTCCATATCATGTGATTCAGGTGTTCCAAGTCACCCTCCATATCATGTGATTTCAGGTGTTCCAATCCCTACCATATCATGTGATTCAGGTGTTCCAATCCCCTCCATATCAGGAGATTCAGGTGTTCTAATCCCCTCCCAATCATGTGATTCAGGTTTGTTCCAATCCCCTCCCAAATCATGTAGATTCAGGTGTTCCAATCCCCTCCATACCATGTGATTCAGGTGTTCCAATCCCTCCATATAATGTGATTCAGTGTTCCAATCCCTTCCAAATCATGAGATTCTCGGTGTTCCCAATCCCCTCCATGGACACAGGTGTCTACACTCAAGCCCCTAGGCATGCAGACGTCTTCTACAAACCTTGGTGAAAGAATGGGGTCGCTCTCAGGAGACTCAGATACTCCAAGCGTCGGTCCCGTTGATAGTGTGGCCACCTGGGCATTAATTCCAACCGTGTACATCTCTCCTGGCTACTAAATATTCCACTCTCAATCTGCTTGTGGTATTATAAACAAAGTTCGGAAGCCACTGGGAACAACAGCCACTCAGCCAACCAAGTGTGGTTAGGCCACGTCAACCATGAACAAAGGCTGGGGTCAGCGTCATGCTGAAGCGCACAGATGCGCAGAAGTCGCCAAACCTATCTGCAGAGTCCAAATAACTTAAGACCTCCAAACTTGGTGCGGGCCTTCAGATGAGCCCAACAACAATGCGTATAGAGCTTCATGGAATGGGTTATCCATGTCCGAGCAGCTGCATCCAAGCCTTCCATCACCAAGTGCAATGCAAAGGTCGGATGCCGGGTGTAAAGCACGCCACCCCTGGACCGAGCAGTGGGTGTTCGGAGTAACCCAAACACCCTTTTTCTGTTGGGAAAACCCAAAGGATTGTTGGGTTGGGGGCTGCCAGGAGAACTACTTGCCGGACTGCATTTTTCCAAGTGT